GTCAACAGAAACATTTCCAGCCAGAAGAGATTGGCACAAAATATTCAAAGTGAAGAAATGCAAGGACCCGGACTATTCTACCCAGCGAAATTAAATAAGAAAGTAAGATTATCTCAGACAAGAAAAAGCTAAAGAAGTTGAAAGTAAGATTATCTAAGACACAAAACAGCTAAAGAAGTTCATTTGGAAAAAAAAATGCAAAAAACAAACCAGTATGACAAGAAATATTAAAGAAACTCACTTAAGAAGAAAGAAAAAACATAAATATTAATACTAAAATGGCACTTAAGTATGTACCTATCAATAATCACTTTAAATGTAAATGGATTAAAACATCCAATCAAAAGGCATAGGGTAGCTGAATGGATAAAAAATAAGACGCACATATATGCTGTCTACAAGAGACCTACTTCAGATCAAAAAACATGCACAGACTGAAATTAAAGGGATAGAAAAATATATTTCAAGAAAATGGTAATAACAATACTTATATCAGACAAAATAGAGTTTAAAACAAAAGCTATAGCCAGCGGCATTACTCCATGGTTGAGCATCAACCTTTGAATCAGGAGGTCACAGTTCAATTCCTAGTCAGGGTAAATGCCCAGGTTGCAGGCTCAATCCCCAGTGTGGGGTGTGCAGGAGGCAGCTGATCAATGATTCTCTCTCCATCATTGATGTTTCTATCTCTCTCGCCCTCTCCCTTCCTCTCTGAAATAAATAAAAATATTTTAAAAAACAGAGGCTATAAAGAGACAAAGAATAATGTTATAAGTTTAATGAAAAGGGAAGTTATAACCCTTGTAAACATTTATGGACTCAACAAAGGAGCATCCTATCTAATAAAAGAGAAACATGGTAATTAAGCATAACTTCACTACCCTTCCCATTGGCTAATCAGGGCAATATGCAAATTAAGTGCCAGCCAAGATGGTGGCCGGCAGCCAGACAACTGACGCGAACATGGAGGCTTGCTTGCTCCAGTGACAGAGGAAGCCAGGTTCCCCACGTGCCTGCTGGGCTCTGAGCTGCTCTCTAAGAAACATTGTTACAAATATAGAAGCTAAACAAAACCCCAGAAACCTGCTTTCAGTCAGCCAGGATCTCAGAGCTGGAGTCCCAACAAAGTTTCAAATACAGAAGGTAAACAAAGTCCAAAAACCTGCTTTCAGCACCCTAGGTCTCTGAGCTGGAGCCAAGCCTCAGAGCTAAAGACGGCTCTCAGCTCCAGTGACAGCCATAGAAGGTAAATAAAATCCCAGAATAAAAAATAAATAAAAGAGAGGTTGGGAGCCCCAGTCACCCACCAGCCTGAAAATGGCCCTCAGCCCCTCACCCAGACTGGCCAGGCACCCCAGTGGGGACCCCCACCCTGAAGGGGGTGTGACCAGCTGCAAACAGCCATCATCCCCTCATCCAGGCTGGCCAGGCACCCAAGCAAGACCCCCACCCTGATTCAGGACATCCCTCAGGGCAAACCAGCCGGCCCCCACCCATGCACCAGGCCTCTATCCTATATAGTAAAAGGGTAATATGCCTCCCAGCACCAGGATCAGCGGAACCGCAAGGCCTCCCAGCCTGGGATCAGCGGAGCCATGAGGCTTCACTGCCCCGGTGTAAATCGGAGCCATGAGGCCTCCCAGCACCTGGATCAGCAGAGGAGCAAGGCCTCACTGCCCCTGTGTCAAGCAGATCCATGAGGCCTCCCAGCACCGGGATCAGCTGAGCGGTGAGGCCTCACTGACCTGGTGTCAAGCGGAGCCGCGAGGCCTCCTGGCCGCTGGAGCAGTGTGACAGGGGGCAGTGCCCAAACCCCCTGATCTGCCCTGCTCTGTGCATGACAGGGGGTAGTGCTGCAACCTCCCCATCGACCCTGCCTTGAGTGTGACAGGGGGTGGCACCCCAACCCCCTAATCGGCTCTTCCCTGAGCATGACTGGGGGTGGCATCGCAACCTCCTGATCTGCCCTGCTCTGTGCATGACAGGGGGTGGCGCCCCAACTCCCCAATCGGCCCTTCTCTGAGCCTGACCAGGGGCTGCGGGGCAGGCACCCAGGGATTGGGCCTGCCCTCTGCCACCTGGGAGCGGGCCTAAGCCAGCAGGTCGTTATCTCCCGAGGGGTCCCAGACTGTAAGAGGGCACAAGTGGGGCTGAGGGATACCACCCCACCCCACCAGTGCACAAATTTTTGTGCACTGGGCCTCTAGTCCTAATATATAAACCCCAGGGTAGTAATGACCAAATGCTGACCAAACCGAAAGTCCTTCAGTCAGAACTGGTTTGCCGTGGCGACCCAGCACCAACTGCCCAGGGGGCTGAAACCCAGAGAGAGGCAGGTTCTGATCCACAGCCTCAGTGGAAGCTGTTGATCAGTACTTGCCTCTTTTTTTCTCTCCCTCTTTTTTTCCAGGCTTTGCCAGCAGCTGGGCCTTTTTTCTCTCCCAGCCTCTTCGGGGGCTGCTGTTCACCCCCGCCTCTCTGATCAGGCCCAGAGATAGGCCCAGAGATACTGACTGGCATAGAAACCAACCAATCAGTACCAAATGTGGGTGCTCTGAAGAACCAATGGCTGCCTAAGAGGCAGAGCTTGATGTTGATTATGGCATAAGAACCAAGCAATCAGAACCAAATCTAGGTGCTGTTAAGAACCAATGGCTGCCAAGAAGGCAGAGCTTCTGATGCTGACTGGCATAGAAACTGACCAATCAGAACCAAATTGGCTAGCAGAGGAGGGCAGTTGGGGGCGAGATCAGGCCAGCAGGGGAAGGCAGTTGGGGGCAACAAGGCTGGCATGGGAGGGCAGTTAGGGGTGATCAGGCTGG